ACCGAGTTTCAATAATTCCTGAATTTGGGCCTTAAGATCTTGCAATTCTTTCGGCGCCATTCAATAAGGTGCTTTAGAAACTGGGCTGGCTCCTGGAATAAGATCGATAGAGAACTCTACCTGCCGGTTAGGTGGTCCTCCTGGAAGTTGGTCCGGGAACACATCCACAAACTCATGAACAATAAAAACGTCGTGAGGTGTCCGTGCCCTTGGTTCATCGCTGACAAGACTCACAAGATAACCCTGACAATCTCCTCGACGTAACATCTTTTTGGCTTTCGCCATAGAAATAACATGAGGCAAGGAATGAGTCTTGGTGCCAAAGAAAGTAATATGATCGTCTCCCGGAAGATAAAGAGTAATCTCCCGGTCATGGCATCGAATATCTGCATGAAAATATGTTAGCCTATCCATGCCGAGTATGAGGTCAAAATCCCTCATCTCGAGAACATAAGCGTCGGTAGTCAATGTACGGCCACCGATAGAAAGGCTGAGATCTGTAGCTTTAGCATCAGTCACTATCTTTCGTCCCGAGGCTAAACTCACCTCGAGAGGATCGACAGTGGTAATAGACTGTACTCCGATGGCATCAAGACATCGTCGTGATATAAAAGAGTGTGTTTCTCCGGTATCAAATAAGGCAAAAATAGGAACATCATTAAGCATAAGCATCCTAGACATGGTACCTGGGTGTTGTTCCGCCTCGGCATAATCGACCGCATAAACTCGAGCCTGCTGTCTGCCCCTCTGCTGTTGCTGGGGTGGCCTCTGAGCCTGTTGTCTGGGCTGCTGCTGCTGCTGTGGCTGCTAGAATTTCTTCGGACAGCGGTTAGCAAAATGTCCAGGCTCGTGACAGTAATAGCAAATATCCTGGCCAACGTGACACTCTCCGCGATGGAGTCGTCCATAAGTGGGCATTGGTGGAACCTGTTGTGGCCTCGGATGGGTCCTCCTATCAGTCCGGGCGCCTTTCCCCTTCCTCTTCTTATCCTTCGGTTGTTGGGCAGCAGCTGGTGGAATAGGTGGTGCTGAGGATGATTGGGCAGGGGCAAATGGTTGAAGACGATCGTGGTTAGCATCCCTCTTAATGCTGGCGTCAACCTCCTGGGTGATAGAAATGGTACGAGCGTAGGTCTGAACTCCGTGACCTACAATGTTGTGACGGACTGCTGGGTAAAGCCCGTCAGTGAAACGTTGTGCCCTCTTTGCCTCTGTGCTCACTAGATCAGGAACAAAGGCTCCGAGTCGAGTGAATTCTCTCTCGTACTCGTCTACAGAAAGAGTACCCTATTTGAGCGCCAAGAATTGACGCTCCATCTCTGCGCGATAGTACGTGGGATAGTATTTCTCGCGAATCAACTCCTTGAACCTGTCCCAGGTACAACCTTCCTTTTCACCGGGACGCATACTCCAGTAAGCGTTCCACCAGAGTCGTGCATCCCCCGTCAACTGAATCTGTGCGCATAAAAGACGATAAATGTTTGGGCAATCCATAACCTCAAAAATCATTTCAAGGCCCTAAACCCATTCGTCCACAATTCGAGGATCTCTCTGGCCGAAGAATTTCTCGGGGTGATAGTCGCGGAACTGTGCGACTACAGTGGCCTGGGGGACCGCCGGATGATCTGGCTCCCTACGTGGCGGCATCTGAATATTGGAAATGTTCAACATTATCAGACACAGGGAAAATACTTTAGCTGATTAGCGCACAAATCTCTTGACGAGTTGCTAAACATGACTTCTGAAGTACTGACATTAATCATGGATATATGAATCCTGAACCTGATTCGAGCATCTTAACTAAGTCATAACTGTGGTTTTTCTGAGCATAGACATAGTAATTTGTTTATAATTTAAAAACATGAATCAGCACTTACCTGTAGTCGGTGAGGCGTGAGCGTGACGTGTTCAGGTTTTTATAAAAATTTCTGACTCATAAAAGTTTCCAGAGACGCAAAAACGTGCTCTCATACCAACTATAACACCCCGCTATGTCATAAGTATCAGAGTTAAATTTTCGCAAAATCTTTTATTTAAATATACTGATTAATTTACAAAATCGTGATTCAGAGTGCTACCGTGACCTTACTTTGAAATCCGTTAATTTTAGTTTTTAAGAAAAATGGATTAGCATGATAATAACAATCCGACTAGCAATCTGATCAAGAGGCTAAGTTTGGCAAACAGTCAAAATCAACGGAAAACGTAGCGTGGCAAAACATTTAAACTCCACTACGGAAGATAGTAACAGCATTGCTATGCCAAATTCAAACATGTAATCAAAATCCTGAACTGGCCTCCCGCTCATGCCTCCGGTCCGACTCCGTGACTTGAAAAACATAAATAACATGGGGCATGAGCACTAAAGTCCGCTGTGCTCCGTAGGAACTCATACTAAAGTAAACAGTGAAAATAATTGCAATATCATGATCTTGGTATATACATAAACTGAACATGAAACCGGTATTGAATAATCATAACATGATAATCATCACATGACCGTTACCTCATCTGCCAGCATAAAACGCCGGACACCATGTGCACACTCTAGTGGGTAGACTAGGGCTACTAGAACCCAGAATGGACCGGCGACCATTCCAAGCGGATACATGACATGATAATACATACCTCAAACATGGTAGCGTAATTATAATCAATGTAATACCCAGTCTGAGTCCCCACCCGATCCGTCGATATGAAAAAGATAGTGCTGATAACAGTAGCATGATAAAACTGTAAAATAATATAAACAAAAACTAAATACCATGCTCAGACTGATAAAAATAGTTTTTTAATATGTTAAGATGCTCAAACGGAACTTGACATGATGTTTGGACTTAACCGGTATAACTGGGACCGGCTTAACATGGAACTGGACTGACATGAATTTACTGAACTGGACTGGACACGGAATTTAACTAAAAATGGGACAAAAACATGAACCAGGACTTAAAACATTAAAATATACGCTGAACCAGTCTGAACCGGTCAGCATGGGCTGTGCGCGGGCACGGACTGTGCCCGGACACGGACTGGCTTGGCCTGGGCGCGACATGAAGCTGCCAGCCTTGCTGGGCATGGACTGGTGCACGGGCATGGCCGCTCGTGCGCATTGGACTAAGCGCGACTGGCATAGT